CCACAGATACCCACAGTTACCCACAGTTACCCAGAGTGATTCCAACCCCCTCACCCCACCCCACACACACAGGGTGAGGCGTGCGAGAGGCAGTGCAGGCCCGGGCGGTGGGGAGAAGGTTGCAGACAGTCTTGCAGGTGTCTCAACGGTGCAACGTGTGATCCTGTGACTGGCAAGTAAGTCGCAGGATAGATGGATAGGTTATAGACTCGGCGGATAGATGGATCGGTAAATAGATAGATGGATGGATAGGTTATAGACTTGGTGGATAGATGGATAGGCTGCATAGATAGATGGATGGATGGATAGGTTATAGGACTCGGTGGATAGATGGATAGGTGCATAGATAGATTGGATGGATGGATAGGTTATAGACTCGGTGGATAGATGGATAGGTTGCATAGATAGATGGATGGATGGATAGGTTATAGACTCGGTGGATAGATGGATAGGTGCAAGATAGATATGGATGGATAGGATAGGTTATAGACTCGGTGGATAGATGGATAGGTCATAGATGAGATGGATAGGTTATAGACTCGGTGGATAGATGGATAGGTGCATAGATAGATGGATGGATGGATAGGTTAGACTCGGTGGATAGATGGATAGGTGCATAGATAGATGGATGGATGGATAGGTTATAGACTATAGATGGATAGATCATAGATAGATGGATGCTCGGATAGAATGGATAGATGCTAGCTTGGCGGATAGATGGATAGGTGCATAAGATAGATGGATGGATGGATAGCTCGGTGGAATAGATGGATAGGTGCAATAGATGGATGGATGGATAGGAATAGACTTTGATAGAAAGATAGGTGCATAGATAATGGATGGTGGATAGGTAGATAGATGGATGGAGATGGATAGGTTATAGACTCGGTGGATAGATGGATAGGTGGCATAGATAGATGGATGGAATGATAGGTTATGACTCGGCGGATAGATGGATAGGTGCATAGATAGATGGATGGATGGATAGGTTATAGACTTGGCGGATAGATGGATAGGTGCATAGATAGATGGATGGATGGTTATAGACTGTGGATAGATGGATAGGTGCATAGATAGATGGATGGATGGATAGATAGATTGGCGGATGATGGAATAGGTGCATAGATGATGGATGGATATAGACTTGGCGGATAGATGGATAGGTGCATAGATAGATGGATGGATGGATAGGTTATAGACTTGGTGGATAGATGGATAGGTGCATAGATGGATGGATGGATAGGTTATGAATTGGATAGGTGGATAGATAGATGAAGAGGTTAATGGACTTGGATAGGTGTATAGATAGATGGATAGGTTATGAATTGGATAGGTGGATAGAGAGATGGATAGGTTATGGACTTGGATTGGTGGATAGATGGATACGGGATAGATAGATGAGTAGGTGGATAGATAGATGGATAGGTTGTGTCTTGGATAGGTGGATAGAGAGATGGATAGGTTATGGACTTGGATAGGTGGATAGAGAGATAGATGGATAGGTTATGAATCGAATAGGTGGATAGATAGACGGATAGGTTTAGACTGGGTGGATAGATACATTGATGGATGGATGGATAGATGAGATGGTGGATATTGATAGGTGTAGATAGGTGAATGGTTAGACGTGCTTGCGGATATTGATAGATCTAGGAGGTGGATGGATAGATAGGTGGATAGATAGTTTGTATCGACAGTGAGTGGACGTTGAAAGGCGTAGCTAGATGGATAGGTGAATAGATTGGTAGATACTGTGTGGATATTGATATGTGTGGGTGGATGGTTGGATATATGAATAGGTGAATATTGAAAGATGTAGAGATGGATAGATAGATGGTTGAATATTGGATAGATTTTGGATAGGCGAATAGGTGTAGATGGATGAATATATGAAAGGGAGGAGTGGATAGATATTGTGTGGATACTGGGTTTATTATTATGAAAGGTGTGGACAGATGTGTTGGTAGATGTGGGTATTGGGTGGATATTGATAGATAGACGAATAGATAGATATATGAGTATAGATGATAATGGAATGACGGATGAAGAGATAGATAAAGATGAATAGTGTCAGACAGACCTACAGATGGATGCATTAGCATAAGTTTAACAATAACGAGTAATGATGGATATAATTGATGAATATGATCTTAATATCTTCTTTCGTCCCTCCCCTTTTCCCTCTGTCCTTCCTCCTAATTCTTTCTGTCTCTTTGTATCGCTTTCCTTTCTCTCTTCTTTCCCTCCCTCCTTCCTCTCTCCTTCCCTCTTCCTTCCCTCCCTCCCTCCCCTCCGTCCTTCCTTCCCCTCTCCCTCTCCCTCCCTCCTTTCCTCTCTCTCTCCTTTCCCCTCCTCCTCTCCCTCCTCCACCGTCCCTTCCCTCCTCCTTTCCCTCCTCCTCTCCTCCCTCCACCCTCCCTCCCTCCCTCCTTCCCTCCTCTCCCTCCCTCCTCTCCCTCCCTCCTCCTCCCTCCTCCCTCCCTCCCCTCTCCTTCTCTCTCCCTCCCTCCCTCCCTTCTTCCTCCTCTCCCTCCCTCCCTCCTTCCTCCTCTCCCTCCCTCCTTCCCTCCTTCCTCCTTCCTCCTCTCCCTCCCAGGTGCATATGTGGCGCCGGCTTCACGGGTCCGTACTGCGGCCGGCACTGCCCCCCAGGACGGCATGGCCACGACTGCGCCCACGTGTGCCAGTGCCCGGGCGGGGGCCAGTGCCACCGCGTCACCGGGCACTGTTCCTGCCCGCCGGGAAGGACTGGACAGAAGTGCCGGGAAAGTGAGTGGGTTTCCTGAGGGTTTTAAAGGACGGGTATTATGAGGACTTTTTCTAATGATGGTGAATATGGTGGGGGATTAAGTATCATTGAATATTAGGATAATGATAGATTTAAGGATAATGATGAAAGGGTAATAGAATAAATATTTATGGTTGCCATGTGAGGTACAGCACTAGAGAATGTGTATATATGCATACAGATGAGTGAATACACATGTATGAGTGTGCGGCGCGGGTGCATGTATGCATGCATACGTGTGTGCAAAGTGCGTGTGTGTATAGTGCGTGCGTGCATAATGCGTGCGTGCGTGCGTGTATAGTGCGTGCGTGTGTGTACGTGCGTGCGTGCGTGTAAAGTAAACCCAGCAGGAACCCATCCTTTGCAATCCTCGCCAACAGCGTGTCCTGAAGGCTCGTACGGCGTGGACTGTGCCATGAGCTGCAGGTGCGAGAACAACGCCACGTGCGACCCCGTGTCCGGCGCCTGCACGTGTACCCCGGGTGAGTCTGTGGGTGGCCAGGCGCGTGCGGGCGGGGGGCCGGGGTGGGTGGGGTGGGGTAGGGGGGGTCGATCAGCACATAACAAGATTATAACTCGAGTTTTAGATCAATTGACTGCTGAACAGGTAATGTTGATATTATCACTGGATATTATAAGGATATCAAATCAACTGAAAGTCTGGTACTATTATTGTTGTGAAATATGTTACACAGGTGTGCCAGATAAGTCCAATATAATCTATTTTATATCACCTGCTATTAGATATTACATGTGCTACAACAAACAAGGTATTATTGACATTATTATCAACTGCTAATATACCTTTTTATTTTCCTTAATAGGATGGCAAGGCAGGTACTGTTCCGAGCCTTGTCCCGCGGGGTTCTGGGGCCGTGAGTGCCGTCGCGTGTGTGAGTGTGGCACTGGCACCTGCGAGCCTACCACGGGAGACTGCATCTGCCCACCGGGGGAGGAGTGTGACAGGGGTGAGTTGAAGAGTGGAGGAAGGGAGGGGGGTGAGGGAAGAGAGGAGGAGGATAGAGGGAGGGAGGAGGGAAGGATAGAGGGAGGGGGAAGGAGGGAAGGATAGAGGGAGAGAGGAGGAGAGGGAGGGAAGAAGAAGAAGAAGGAGGGAAGGAAGGGAGAGAGGAGGGCAAGAGAGGAAGAAAGGAAGGGAAGGAGAGAAGGAGGGACACAGGAATGGAGGAGGGAAGGGAGGACGGAGAGGGACGGAGAAGGGAAGGAAGGAGGAAGAGGGAAAAAGGGCGAAGGGAAAGGAAAAAGGAAAGAACGAGAGAGAAGGGGAAAGAAAAGTGAGACGGAGGAAGGAGAGGGAGAGAGGGAGGGACGGAGGAGAGTAGGAAGGGAGAGGGGAGAGCAGGAAAGGGAGGAACGAACGGGAGGGAGAAGGAAGAGATGGAAAGGAAGGAAAGAAGGAAGTCATGAAACGGGAGGGACAAAGAGAGAGGGAGAAGGAGGGAAGGAAGGGAGAAGGAGCAAAATCCACATTTTAGATGGACTGTGGAAGGGAGAGCGGGGAGAGGGAGGGACGAAGGAGGGAAGAGAGAAGGGTGATAAAGCATATTATTTGCATTTACAAAAGTGATTGATGAAAGTCGAGTTGAATATCGTTTTAGTTTATAGTGATGAAGTATAGTGATTGCATTTAGTAAGATAAACTTTATAATACGAAATACTGATTAACTTTCACATTGTCAGATGATGAATTTGCAATATCGAAAAGCCCAGTTGCATAGCTCACAGGGTAAAATATATATATATATATATATATATATATATATATATATATATATATAATATATATATATATATATATATATATATATATTATATATTATAATGTAGTGTACATGAATATATATTCCCCCTTCTCTCCCCCCCCCCCCCCCAGCGTGCCCGCCCGACCGCTGGGGCCCCACCTGCGAGAACATCTGCCTCTGCCACAACGGCGGCACCTGCGACCGCGTCTCCGGCCTGTGCATGTGTCCTCCTGGCTTCACCGGCGCCACGTGTCAAGACAGGTGTCCCCCAGGAAGCTTCGGCGAGAAGTGCCAGTTCTCCTGCTTGTGTCAGAACGGTGCCACCTGCATGCATGACACCGGCGCCTGCGTTTGTCCTCCTGGTTATAGAGGCACCTACTGCGAGGAAGGCAAGGATGATTTCTCATTGTTGTGGCGTTGTTATATGGGTTGTTTTTTATGCTGTTATTATTCAGTTATTATAGTTTTGATTAGTTGCAGGTTGATTATAGATATGTTGTTATGCTATAAGTTTTTTTTCGGTGGTATTTTTTTATTTTCATTATGATTTTGGTGATATGTTGCTTGGCGATTATGATGTAATTGAGTGCCATGTTTTTTTTCGATATTATGGCTACTTTTATTATGATGATAAAGATTAACTGTATAGCGATTATACAATGATACTAATATTATTATCATGATTTATAATGTCAAATGAAGTACTTTCTTTAGCATGAAATATTTCAACATCCTCTATCTTCGTGTGTCTCCCTCTCCTTCCTCTTTATCTCTCTCCTTTTCACCCTCTCACCCTCCCCATCTCCGCTCAGGGTGTGATGACGGCAGCTACGGCCCAGGGTGTCTCCTGACGTGTGCCTGCCAACGAGGGGGGAAGTGTGACCCCGTGACAGGGACGTGCACTTGCCCCCCGGGATGGGATGGGGAGAAGTGTGACAGGCCTTGTCCACAGGGTAATGTTTAATGTAATGTTTACTGTTTAATGTTTGATATTTTAAACGGATTGATTTGCTAGACATCAAAGGTCACTTAGCAGCTATGGTAAAGTATTGCAGTGAAAGTGGTTTAAAGTTCTTTATTAGAATAGAATGTCTTCAACAGTCGTATGACGCATGGTAGTGTAAGGGGTAGAAAGAAGAGGAGTAAATGGGGTAGGATAAGGATTGAAAGGAGGGAAAGGGTTAGGGATAAAGGGATAGGGGTTATTTTTCCAGTTCTTTAATTTAGTTCGGTCCATTATTTACTATCCTGGCTAACTGCGCAGGCGTGGGCAAGCTTCGATACATCCGATGCATAATAGGGTAGCATTGGGTTGAAAAATGATGGTTATATTATAACCTCTGCCAAGGAGGTTATGTTTTTTGGTAGCATTGGTTAGTTACTTCGTCAGCAGGATGACTCAAAAAGTTATGAACAGATTTTTATTTCTGTGTGTCTCAGCCCAACTTAAATGCCATTAAATTTTGGTGGCGATCCTGATCCAGCGCAGGCTGAGTCAGAAAGTTATGAACAGATTTTTATTTTTATTTTTTTTACCAGAGGTGTGTCTTAGTCCAACTTAGATGCCATTGAATTTTGATGGTGATCCGATTGTAATACTGATCATAGTAACAGTGATGATGATAGTAATACTAGTAACAGTAATAATTATAATGACAGTAATGGTAATGAGAACCTTCATAATAACAGTCAAATTTTTCACAATAATGATAGTGTCAAAGAAAACAAGAAAGCAACACAATATTAAAATAAAAACACTGCCACAGTAATTAAATAAAATTATGACGTTTCGAATCCGTCAAGAGTTGCTCATCAGACATGATAAAAAACAAATTGAATCCACGTTATCTCTGCATGGACGTTACTGTGTTTACGTTTGTGCATAACATCACACGTATATCAGTAACCATTCTATCTCCCCCCAGGGCTGTGGGGACAAGACTGCAATAACATGTGTAATTGCAAGCACGGAGGCTCCTGTCACCATGTCACAGGAGTGTGCCAGTGCCCCTCTGGCTTCACAGGGGAAAACTGCGAAGATAGTAAGTATATATATATATATATATATATATATATATATATATATATATATATATATATATATATATATATATATATATATATATATGTGTTGTGTGTGTGTGTGTGTGTGTGTGTGTGTGTGTGTGTGTGTGTGTGTAAATTGTGTGTATTTATTGAGTGAGTATGTGTGTATACATAGTATGTATCTTTATATAGTGAGTATGTGTGTGTATATATAGTAAGTATATGTGTGTGTGTGTGAATTGTGTGTATTTATTGAGTGAGCATGTGTGTAGGTATGTATGTATCTTTATATAGTGAGTACGTGTGTATATATATAGTAAGTATGTGTGTGTGTACATATACCGAATATGTAAAGATAGTAAAGGAATAAATAGTCATAATGATAGGATAGTAAATATTGAAGGATAGGATAGTGAATATAAGAGAGAAGATAAGATAAGACAGTAAGCGTAGATGGTAAGTACCGTATTATTGGATAGTAAGAATAGCATTATGTAATAAGAAGTATAACAGTAAAGGAGAGAGAGTAAAGTAGTATAGGATTTTGAGTTCAGTAGTATAGATGATAAGTATGGAAAGATGGTAAAAATTGTAGAGTAAGGAAAATGAAGATAGTAGCATGAAATGGTAAGGTGGTAAGTATGCCTACTCTGCATAAGAAAGTATATTTAATGTTATTCATTATAAAAAAGCATTTATGGTATGCGTGAAATGGTAAGGTGGTAAGTATGCCTACTCTGCATAAGAAAGTATAATTAATGTTATTCATTTTAAGTATGATCTCAAGGAGTAAGCAAGCAGTTATCATAAAATCATTTTTTAAATTAATGTGTATGTGTGTTCGTGTGTGTGTGCGTATGTGTGTGTGCGTGTGTGTGTGTATTAATTCATATGTATGTGCGTGCGTGCTTGTGTTTGCTTATGCATGCGTGCGCGTGTATGCATATGTGCACATGTGTATACAATCGTATTTAATTTGATAAAATAAAATTCCTAAAATAGAACGATACTTCCGTGCCAAACCAACGAATCTCTTACTAGACCCCTTCCCACGCAACACGTTCCAAACATGTTCTAACAACATCCCTCCCTGTTGCAGTCTGTCCGCGAGGATTTTATGGCAAGGACTGCAACCAGCGATGTACGTGTGCCAGGAATCAGCCGTGCCACCACATAACGGGTGCCTGCAAATGCCCGCCGGAGCGGGGGCACAGTGCCATGATTGTGAGTGCCATTCTGCCATGACGAGTCCGCTGTCCTTTGTTTGCAATTTGGTCTGTCTGTGTTCGTTGTTTGATCGGCATTATCGGTAATAATGATGATAATGACAATAATGGGAATAATGATAAAAAGAAGAAGCACAATGGTAATATGATTATTCTTATTATCATTATTATAATTATTCTTATTATCATTAATATTAACAAGATGATTATGATATTATTATTATCATCGTTATCACTATCATTATTAATGTTATTATTGCTATCATTCATTATATTATTGTTTGTTATTACCAACGCTATTATTTATCATCTCATTATTATTATCATTATTATCAATTATTTTTTATTATTATTATTATTATTATTATTATCATTATCGTCATTATCATTTTTTTTATCATTTATTATTATTATTATTATTATTATTATTATTATTATTATTATTATTATTATTATTATATTATTATTATCACCATCATCATCATTATTATCAATTTATCATTATTATTTGTCTTATTATTATATTATCATTATTATTATTTATTAATCATGCTTCTTATCATTCTTTCCGTTTTCATTGGCATTATTTATTATCACTATCCTAACGCCCTGCCCCCCTCCCTCTCCCCCCCCCGCCCCCAAGTCTGCCCCGAAGGAAAGTGGGGCGAGCAGTGCAAGAGGAGTGCCAGTGCAAGGCTCTTCACTCTGCGACCCGTCAGCGGCGCCTGCGTGTGTCCCCCAGGCACTCGAGGCCGGAAGTGTGGCAAAGGTTGTCCTCCAGGCTTTTATGGCATCGAGTGCAAGGAGGTGGGTGGCGTGTTTGTTTGTTTTTTTTCGTTAGTTTCGTTTGTGGTTGTTTTCGATTCGATTTCCGACTTTCTGGTGACCTGAGACATCCGTGACCCCTAACTTCCGGGATCGAATAATAAATCCACTTAAAGAAGATACCCCCCTCTAAAAGAAAAGAGTAGAGAATAAATAAGAGAGAGAGAGAGAGAGAGGAGAGAGAGAGAGAGAGAGAGAGAGAGAGAGAGAGAGAGAGAGAGAAGAGAGAGAGAGAAGGAAGAGGTCTCATGACATGACCAGAGGCTGTAGCCCTTTCGCCCTTCAATTCCACCCTCCCTCTTGACACTTCTTGACCCCCCCCACCCCCACTTGACCCTCATGACCCTTGGTCCTCGCCCTTGGTACAGAAATGCGAGTGCGAGAACGGAGGTCGATGTAACTCGACGACTGGGGCTTGTGAGTGCCCCGAGGGATTCTACGGCCCCACGTGCTCCCTCCCCTGCCCTGACGGTACATACAGCACCCACTGTAACCAGGTACAGTTGTACAGCCACTCGATACATATCTTACACTGACAGCACTCGGGTACAGTCACGCAGTAGACACTCTGTACACTCCCTTCAGCCAGGTACAGTCGCATGGACACACAGCAGCCACTGTTACAGAAGCCCTTGTCTGACTGATATGTGACTGATATTTACTCGAGCCCGATACTATCAGGTGAACAGGGATCCCAGGGATTCTCGTCAAACAGGGATTCCTCATCAGGTCAGGTGAAACAGGATTCCTCGTCCAGGTTGTCAGGTGAACAGGGATTCCTCGTCAGGTGAACAGGGATTCCTCGCCTAGCTAAGGTTTGGACGCAATTTACACGTGGATATACTCTGCATCTTGGTTTTGAAACCAAGGCGACGGGTCTACTCGAGCGAGGAAAAATTGGGCAGGTAAAACTACAGCGGAGACTCTATTAGAGTAGCAAATACTAATGATATGAAATTAAATATATGTATATACATGTGTTTGTAAACAGGCATGCCCCTGGCTCTGCCTCGCAGGACGCGGCGACGGCCTCCCTCGGGAACCCAGGTACGTGCCCTTCCGCCGAACTAACCCCCCGCAACATATGCAACAGCTCAACCTCGACCCCCACCTCCAAGTCCTTCTTCCCAAAAGTCCCCCTCCTTCTCCTCCTCCTCCCTCCCCTCCGCCTCCTCCTCCCCTCCTCTCCTCCTCCCCTCCTCCCTCCTCCCCCTCCTCCCCCTCTCCTCTCCTCCTCCTCCTCCTCCTCTGCCTCCTCCTCCTCCTCCCCCTCCTCTCTCCTCCTCCTCCTCCTCTCCTCCTCCTCCTCCTCCCTCCTCTCCTCCTCCTCCTCCTCCCCTCCCCTCCTCCTC